CTCCTTACTTCTTATTATCATATATATATACATTACCATCCATATATAGACATATTTTCTTTATTCATTCACCTGTTGATTGACATACATATTGTTTCGAAGATCTAGCTACTATAAATTGTGCTACTATAAATATGTGTGTGTATGGATGCCTGTAATTTAAAGACTTTAACTCTTTGGGGAAGATACCTACAAGGGGGATAGCTGGGTCAAATGGAAATTCTACTTATAGATTTTGAGGAATCTCCTGGACTGGTTTCCACAGTAGCTGTACTAGTCTACATTTCCACCTGCAATGTAGGAGGGTTCCTTTCCCCCCACAAACACACACACATCCTCACTAGCATTATTTGATTATTTGATGATACCATTCTTTCTGGAGCAAGATGATATCTCAGTGTATTTTTAATTTTTATTTCTCTAAAGGCTAGTGATGATGAACATTTTTTGAAGTGTTTAGGGGCCAACTGTACTTCTTTGGATAAATGTCTATTTCAGTAGCCCATTTTTTGGTCCTGTCTTTTATTTTTGAGGTCAAATTTTGTTGAGTTCTTTACATATTTTAGATGTTAATCCTCTGTCCGAGGGCTGGGTGGCAAAATTTATTTTCCCATTCTGTAGGTTGTCTCTTCACTCTGTTGGTAGTTTCCTTTGCTATGTAGAAGGGCTTTTTTGTTTTGTTTTGGCTTTTTTTATTTGACAATTAAAAATTTTTATTTGACTTTAATATTTTGAATAAATACATGACAAAAATGCATTTTTATGGAAAAAACTGCTTCCTGAGTCTTTTTTTTTCCCAATACCCTCCCCACCCCCCGTATAGGGGTATATCCCTAGTGCTTTTCCTTGTCTTATTATTAAAGAAAAAAAATAAAAATAATGATACAAAATTTCAAAACAAGATAGTAGGAGAGCAAGAATGGTTTAGTGCATTGCTTATTGTTATCTTCAAAGTAGTTGCTCAGATTACAAGATGCTGGTATGTTTTGTTGTTTTTTTTTTTTGGTTTTTCTCCGGTACCGGGAACCGAACTCACGACCTTGCGCTTGCCAGGCAGGTGCTTTTGCCACTGAGCTAAATCCCCAGCCCCAAGATGCTGGTATGAAAGACTGATCAAAAAATATAAGCCCAAAACTTTCTTTTCAATGAACTACTAGAAATTAATAGTATAGCTATTTTAACTATGATAGAGATACATAAATATACATATAATATACAATACAAATATACATGTATAATATATACAAATATATATATTTACTATATATTTATATATTTAATTTTCCTTTTCCCTTCCTTCTTTTCTCCTTTCCCTATCCCAGTTTCTCTCTCCTTTTGAACAGTTTCTCCCTATTTCCCAATATCTATTATACATATTGGATCTTATTTGTTCTTCCAGTTTCTTACACTAGAAAGACAATATGATATTTACACATGTGGGTCTTACTTATTTCACTTATGAGTATGGTCTCGAGTTGCATCCATTCACCTATGAAAGTCTTGAGTTTATCCTTCTTTAGAGCTGAGTGGTACTCCATTGTAAAAAAAACACCACATCTTTTTCATCCATTACCTGGTTGATGGGCATTTGAGTTGTTTACAAGATTTAACTACTACAAATTATGCTGCTATAAACATGGATGCACATATAGCATTTTGCCTTGATATTTTTAATTCTTTTGGAAAAATACACAGAAGGGAATAGCTGGGTCAAATGAGACCTCTAATCCTAGTTTTTTAAGGAATCTCTATATTGATCTCCACAGTGGTTGTACCAGTCCACACTCCCACCAACAGTGGGGAAGCCTTCCTTTTTCCACACAGCCCTACCAGCATTTGTTATTGGTTGATTTCATCATGACGACCATTCTTTCTGGGGTGACATGGAATCTCAGTGTTGTTTTACTTTGCATCTCTAAAATGACCAATAATATTGGATATTTTTTCATATATTTATTTGCTATCTGTATTTCTTCATCTGAGAAGTGTACACTCATCACAGATGACCATTTTTGGACTGGGTCTTTGAATTGGGGGGGTCTGATTTTTTCCACTTGTTTATATGTTCTAGATATAAATCCTTTGTCTGAGGGACAACTGGTTAAAATTTTTTCCCACTCTGTAGGCTGTCTTTTCACTCTGTTGGTAACTTCTTTTGATGTGCAAAAGCTTTTTCATAAGATGAGATCCTAGTCATTGATTCTTTGGAGTATTTCACATGCAGTTTGGGTTTTGTTCATGAAGTCTCTTCCTATACCTATGTCTTCAAGATTTCTGCCTATTTTTCTCTTCTGGTACATTCACGTTTTTAATATGTAGGTCTTTGATCCACTGTGACTTTAGTGCATGGTGATATACATGGGTCGAATTTTAGTCTTCAGTATGTGGAAAGCCAATTTTTCTGGCACCATTTATTAAACAGGCTATCTTTCTTCCAGTGAACATGTCTGGCCCCTTTGTCAAAAGATAAGGTAGCTTAGTATGTGTGTAGTTGTGTTTTGAAGAAGTTTTTTAATTTGATATAAACCCATTTGTTGATTCTAGATATTATTTCTTGTGCCATTGGGGTCTTGTTCAGAGAGTCCTTGCCTTCAAGAGTTTTACCTATTTTATCCTCTGGCAGATTGTTTCGGTTTTAACATTTAGATCTTTGACCCATTTTTATTTTAGTTTAGTACATGGTGAGATACATAGGTCTACACTCAGTGTTTTGTATGTGGCTATCCAATTCAGCCAGCACCATTTTTAAAGAGGTTATCTTTCCTCCACTGTATGTCTTTGACTCCCTTGTCAAACATCCCATAGCTGAATGTGCCTGAGGTTGTTTCTGCAACCACTACTCTGTTACACTGATCCACATTTTTTTTCCATGTTGTTTTAATCACAGTAGCTTTGTAGTATAACTTCAAATCTGGGATTGTGGTGTTTCCATCTTTGCTTCTGTTACCTAGGATGGTGTTATGGTTTGGAGCTCTCAATTTGCCACAGATTGCCATGAATGCTCTATGTGGAACTACAGGACTTAATGTTTGTCCTGCTGGATTCTGGACTTGCTTTGATCCCAATGCTTTATACGACCTGTTTGTACCTTTACCTTGTGCCATTGACTGTTGGAAGTGTTTAACTTTTCCTTTTGTACAAGGGCTCACAGCTAAGAGTTTGCCTTAGATCTTGGAGAAGACTTGAGACTTGGACTTCTCAGCAATGCTAAAACTGTTAGGACTTTGGCAGTCTTAGAGATGGACTAAAATGTCATTTGCATAAAAGGGGTATATGTGAGTCTTTGAAGAGCCAGGAGCAGAATGTTATAGTTTGTGTCTAGATGTCCCCCTAAAGCCTCATGCAGTCATGGGGTGGGCTTCTAGAGTTTATGACTGATCTATGGTCAAAAGCTGGGTTTATGAGTATGAATGCTACACCCACCCTGGGGTGAGCATCTTGCATACAGTATAAGGGAGGTAAAGAGGCTTGTTCCCTGCTCTTCCTCCCTTTTTGCTCTTATTGCTTTTGTTGTATTCCACCACCACGAACAGTTGCCCTCTGCCTTGGAGCCAATTGAATATGGACTGACACCTACACAAACTGTCAGCTTAATAAACCTTTCCTTCCTTCATTCTGGGGTTAAGGTATTTTGTCCCAAAAATGAGCAAAAGTAACTAAGACAGATGCCTTTGCTATTTGGGATGCTTCTGGTTCCATATAGATTTTAACGTCAGTTTTTTGGTCTGTGAGAAATGCTGTTCATATTTTGACTGGAATTGCATTAAATCTGTATAGCAGTTTTGGAAGTATAGCCATTTTGAATATATTGCTTCTGCCTATCTAGGAACTGGGAATATAGTTCCATTTTCTGATGTCTTCCTCCATTTCCTTTCCCAGAGTGATATAATTTTCACTTAGAGTTTGTTCACTTCCTTGGTTAATTTAATTCCTAAATAGGTAATTTCTGTTGATGCCTCACTACACAATGTGGTTTGTATATACTATGGAGAACTAGTCAGTCATAAAGAAGGATTTAGTTCAAGTCATTCAGTAGGAAAATGGATGCATCTTGAGACCATAATACTCAGTGAAATAAATCAG